ACACACACACACACACAGCAATCATGTTCGTCAACTGCTCATTTGTCCGAACAGAGGGCCCGCTTATTTTGTAACTAGTTTTCGCTGAAGGTTGCTTCTTTATGTTGTAATTTACCAAGCTGGCAGCACAGTTACTAGCCAAAAACCCAGACCCGTGTTTCGCAGGTATTTTGCCGCTGCGAGTGGTCTGGCTCATCAGTCGATCCCTAGCTTTCCCTGTTTGCTTTCTGGTTGATATAGCGGTTTTGAACTTTCGGTTTCTTAATTTCCTTAGAAATTAATTTCTGTGGTCGGTGTATAGCCAGAGACTTTTTCACCGCTCACTAGGTAGCCAACAGCTAGGCCACCAGGCAGGCCCATCTTCCCGACATGATTTTTATCTCGACTCCAATAGACCCTTTAGGGCTGTACACCAGGGAGGTCAGAATAGGATAACCATCCCCCTGCGGCCAGCACTGTTGTGCGAATGTCAATCCCCCAAAGTGATAGACTCTTTTGTGGCTTCTATCTACTACAAACGTCACCTAGCCGTAAGAGATTAGCCGTGGGTACAAAAGTCTTCGACCGACCTATCAGTTATCTAAAGTTAAACACTAGTTTTGATTGGGTCCACTCTCCAACCTTACTCAGTTTTTGAATAATCACTCCTCCCCCCTTCCAGGGCTGTCCGGAACTCTTTTTTAATCACCGGAAGCACTCATCGTATCGTAGTGCCTTCGTCTGTGCTAGCCATTCAAGAAATGCACATAAGTCGTTGTTTGCTTTTTTAGTATCGCCAGTACCTACTTTTCATTCTGTCTAACAACCCGCAGATACCATAACAGGAAAGACTCGGCTTCCCACACTACGGTTTTCAGTGTTTATTATTAGTCTTTTTGTGGTCTGTAGTGGCTTCCACTATTTAAGCCTTTTAATCAGAGACATGTCCCAGTCTTTGTAAGCTTTGTTGCCGTTTAAACAACCCTCCCAATGGATTTTCACTGGGAACATCCAGAAAACAACGGCACAACTTCCTCGATTTATTAAATCCCATTTGGAAACGTTTTCTTTGACTTCCTTAGTAAAAACTGTCTACCCTTGAGTTGTAGGTGGCTGTGGAATTCGTCATCCCTTCGGAACACGATTTCAAACTTGAATCAACCATTTCCTACTGTTGCATCCGATTTTTATGCTGTTTAAGGAGTTGTTTATCATAGCTGTAACTTTCTCTTCCTTACGTAAATTCAGACGAATCTTCTAAAGTGGATCTGTTGCCAGAGAAGACTGCTTGGATGTATTTGGTGCAGTTGACACAGGCACTCCGATTTACACACAAACAGGCCAATCGTAGCATCGGTATACTGCACCCAAGCAAAATATTGGTACAGGATCGAAACAGGTCAGCAGCAGTTAAAATCTGACTTTCTCTTTATTTCTCGGTTTCTTCACGTCGGTCGGTAGCTTTTGCGGCGGAGAATAGCAGAGGAATCTGTTTTTCGACACCTCCAATGTCGTGTAACCTTTGGTAGTTTAAGTTAAAGCAGCTCATTTAGGCAGACGTGTCCGCTGTTTACTTTGATTAATATGTCTACTTTAATTAAAAAAGTAGGCGGTATAATATAGTAACAAACGCGACACTTGTAGTCCGTTCACTGCCAAGTCCTGGGCCTGGTCTGTGTAAATAAGTAAAACGGGGGGTGCTGCTGGATTGACTTTTGTTCATCAGAGTAAAATCACAACATTATATGCACAATTCTGTGTCTTGGGTCATAGATTGGAATGCGCTTTTTAACTTCGGAGACGAAGGCCCTCGAAAACGCTAAACTATCCTTGTTAAGTATTGCCTTCTTTGTCGCGTTGCATTGTATTATATCATTTATATGTTGATTCTTGTGTTTTTTGATGTTCTTATAGGCTTCTGATCAATTGTTTCGGGCTGAGAGACATTGTGACCCACAATCCTGCCGTTGACATTGTAGCCCAAGAAAAGGTTGTCCTTTTTCACAGTTATTTTCTTTCTCGTATTTCTAATTTTCGTTAAACGCAAGCGAGGTAGTGACTTGGGTTCGCTGTGACAGTGTGCCAGTATCTCTCACTGCTTAAAAATTAACTGAATAACCAAGAGTGCTTTTCGATTTGTTTGATAGCCTTTGGCATTTTCATGAATCATGTAAACCGGCTGCGGAC